AAAAAAAAAAAAAAAAAAAAAAAATTCAAGTAACAAATGCTGAAGAGGTGGTGGGGGGAACCCTTCTACATTGTTGATAGGAATGTAAATTAGCTCAACTGCTAGAGATCAGCATCAGTATAGATATTCAAAAAAAAAAAACCTAAAACTAGAAATTCCATTTGACCCAGCTATTTGTCTTCTAGGTATTTTCCCAAAAGAGTTAAAGTCATATTACAGGGATACATACATACCCATGTTTATAGCACTGCAATTCATAATAGCTAAACCTTAGAAGTAGCCTTTATGTCCATCAACAGATGAATGGATAAAGAAAATGTGACTATTTATGCACAGTGGAGTTCTACTCTGCCACGAAGGATAAGTTTGAGGCATTCGTAGGTAAATGGATGCACCTTAAAACCATAATGTTAAGTGAAATAAATCACGCCCAAGTTTAAATATCACACAATTTCCTTATGAGAAACCCAAAATACAGACTAAGATAAAAGACAATGAGAAAGAAGGAGATCTTTTTGCAATGGGAAAAGGAATAAGAGATGGAAGGAGAGAAAGGGGAAAAGGGGAAAAAAGACTTACTTAAAGGGGAAAAGAGAAATACAGCTTTTCACACAGGAAGGGGACCATGAGTTGGAGGGAGCAAGGAGGAATGGGCAGGGTATGGGGACAAAAAAATGAAGAGATGTACATACACCAACTCCTAATAAGTGTGATCAATATGTACTGCAATCGTGCACTACTCAAAAAATATCATTTTCATCGTGCACCAAGACCACAGTCCCCAGGGCTGTGCTCCCGGGGTTCCCAGGGAAGAATCCCCTTCCTGCCTTTCCCAGCTTCGAGCATTCCTTGGCTTTCAGCCCCTTCCTCCTTCAAAGACGCAGCGTAACATCAGCAAACCCCTGTCCCGGCTGAGTCCTCACTTTCAGGCAGCAGCGGTCAGCTGGCCTACATGAGTGACCTTTCTCTGGAATCTTCTGGGGACTAATTCAGTGGTCCCCCCCGCACTCCTCCCGGGTCAGGGAGAAGATGGTGCTTTTCGTGTGCAATCCAGCAGTGGTCCCTGTAGCAGGCTGTCAGCTCCACCTGTCACCTCCCGGGACCTGTAGCAGGCCTGGCCCCCGTGCCGAGCATGGCCGACCCTGTCTTGCATCCAATAGGAGACCAGGACACGGCTGCAGCCATAGGGCCTTGGCCACTACAGCTACAGGAGTCCCAGGAAGTGAGCCGCTGTCCCCTGCGATGTGGGCCTGACTCTCAGCAGGACCCCCACTCCCGGGCAGGATCACACCTCCGGAGGCCATCCAGGAGTGAGCCTGTGGTGAGGCGTCTTTGTCCATGGGATGGGGAGCGAGACAGCCGGGCCACATCAGTATCCTGTTGGCCCCTCCGGTGACCAGCTCCACCAAGCCCGCGGCCTGGCTTGGTGACCTCCCCTGCGCACTGCAGCACCCACGGGAGGGGGCAGCCAGGCCCTTGGTTTCCGTACAGTCCTGGAGGCACCTGACAGCAGCCATATCTGGGGAGCCTCTCACCCCTCTCCTGCCCCTGCGGGCTGTGGGGCTGAGTCCCACCTGTGCTCACGGGAGTTGCCTCTGAGAGCCCTAAAGGAAAGGCCGGAATCGAAGGGAGGCCCAAGCCCGGGTGAGGATGGTGATGTCTGCTGGGGCGGGAGGAGGAGTGGAGGGGGTAGACCGGGTGGCGGGAGCGGGACGGGCTCTGTGCCCAGGCATCTCTCGAGGCCAGGGGAGGCCTTGGAAATCGCGTCTCTGATTTCACCCACGCGGAGACAGCGACAATATGAGACAGAATATAGAGTCCAGGGAGCCCTGCCCCTCTTCCGGGCTCTCCTGGGCTCGCTCGTCCCTCCCGCGGGCCCGCGCTTCGAGTCCAACGGCCCGGCGAAGGGCGAGTCGAGGGCTGGGAA